AATAAATTAAGTTTATTAAAAATAAATAAATGGAGTACAAAATAAGATTAGAAAACAAATCAGGAAATTCTCTATAGACATTTTTCATTAACTCTTGACCTCTTATTAAAGTTTTGAGTCTCGTACCAACGAATATATTAGTTTTATTCAAAGGTGGAGCTAAGAATAATTGGTCGGAGGAATTTTTTTCAGTAAAGATAATTTACGGTAAAAAGAAGTTACAAAATCTAAAATCAAACTAATTATATACTATAATAGAAACATATAACAAATAAAAGTCACCATCAATGACTTAAAAATATCATTGAACCTAAGAATATGCCATTGATGAGTTAGAACTTCACGAAGCAATTCATTCAGTACTATGAGTAAAATTTTAAGTCACTAATTAATATAATAAATATCACAAGTTCTTTTAAAGCAAATAAAAGATTTTTATGTTCAAATATAAACCGAATAAACTTGAACAGAAATTAGATGTTTAAAAATAATATTACAAATTATCACCAAAGAAACAATGATTAAAAATAAGGTAATAGTATAAATATCATATAATTTTAACCCACGAGCAAGTGAACAAGTTGATTGAGACTTTTCCAGTTTAATTAGAGGTTTTGGTTTTAAATTCTAATAATATAGCTCCGTTAAAACTCGTAAAAGAGAGTTTTGTTACCCATTGGGTCCTGCCCTGCTCGAATCTGGATTAGTTAGTGATCCAGTAGACTTCTGAATACTGGATCATCCATACCAAAAAAAAAAAATCATATAATTTAATCAATCTTTATATTTTCACAATCTTTACAGCATCTCCATTTTCTAATTTTCCTAATCATCACCTAAAGTATCTAATAAATCAATAAACAAGAAAATGACCAAAAAAAAAATGAATATGAAATTTAAAGATAAAAATGATTAAAACAAAAATTAATGGACAAAATTTACTTTAAATGCAAACTTGAAAACCACAAGCTTTTTTTTTTTTTTCTCTAAGGCCAGATGGGACCACCGCCTCCCTTGCCATAACGTGGTTCCTTCATTAGTTGTATTATTAATACAATATACACTATATATCAAAAAAATGGTTGTGTATCATTTTAAATTTACTATTATAAATATATGTCTTTATATAAATTAAATACATAATTTTTTAATATTAATTAACTAATAAATATAAAGAATAAATCCCAAAAAATAAATTTATTAACCTAAAAAGTACTTCAAAATGCCATTACTTCTTTATCCTTATTACTCCCCTTCCATACCGCATCAGTTAACTTTAATAGATTTAATTTTCACTTTAAAAATTTTAATTTATTGATTCATTTTTTAAAAATGTCATTTAATGCATTTATTCTTATTTAAAAAATAATTACAATATATAAAATAAGAAATCTTATTTAAGTGATAATTAATTAGGGATAAATATAAAAGTTTATCAATAAATTATTATACTCCTATTTTATTAAAAAAATAAACTTACTAAATTTATTCTTATTTAAAAAATAATTACAATATATAAAATAAGAAATCTTATTTAAGTGATAATTAATTAAGGATAAATATAAAATTTTATCAATAAATTATTATACTCCTATTTTATTAAAAAAATAAACTTACTAAATTTGAACCGAAGAAAGAGCATGTATTTTTTATTTTACTTTTAGAT